GAAATTAAATTAGAAAAGGTAGCTTTAATATAAAATATTTACCTAACAATAAAATTCAGCTGAACACCTATTTTTATTTCATATTTTCTCTCTTTGTTTTTTTTTTTTTTGGTACCAGGGATCGAACTCAGGTCCTTGCACTTGCGCAGCAAGCGGCAAAACCACTGAGCTAAATCCCTCGCCCCATAGTTGCTGTTTTGATTTCAGTGCATGTCAGAGAAAGTGTGGTCAGCCTCTGGTTTCTTTCACATTTTCGCTCTTCTTTTCCATGAATGATTGGCCAATTTCAGTGGGCCTGACAAAGTAATAAAAAAACTCCACTGAGTCAGAGCTGGCCACTGTGGCAGGCAGCAAGCATCTGCTAGAGACACCCAGGTAAGCCTAGCAGCAGACCCTGGAGATGGAGCCATGTCCAGAGTCCTTTGCAGCCTGGCCCCCTCCATCTCTTCCAGCCTGGACCCAGATTGATGCTGTCATCTGGAAGGTCAATTGTACAGGTCCATGAAGCATTTAAAATGCACAAGGCTCCACTCTGAGTCTACCCAGTTCACCCCATATGCCAGTGGTCAGCCATGAACTGAGGACATACTCACCAGGGACAATTTGTCCCCGCAGTGGCTTGAACTGCCATTTGCATCTGTTTTATTCCTAGACAATTCCATCTAACTTAACAAGATTTCACTAAGCAACAGCTATGTGTCTGTGTCTCTGGCCCACTGTCTCTCAGAATAAGAGGCAGATACAGGGCAGGGCACATGGAGAATGGGGAGTTTGTGATTCCCATGGGCTGTCAGCCTCCTGAAGCAAGCCGATTTCCTCCCACCTTCTCTCTCACTCACTTTGCCCACTTCCTTTCTGTCCTTCTATCCCTCAAACCCTCTCCCTGTCTTCCCCACTCATCCTCTGCCCATCTCTGAGTCTCATCTTCATTTTCTTTCCCATGTACTCTGCCATTTCTCCTTGCCTTTCTAGGTGTCTTCGTCTCTATGTATGCAAGTAATAACTCTGCCACTCCTTTTGGCCTGTCTCTCACTCTCTCTTTCTCTCTCTCTGTCTTCAACTCTCACTCTGTATCTCTGTCTTTCTCCAGTTCACCCTCCTTTGCCTTTCTCTCCATCCCTTAATTTTACCAAATAACAAAACAGGTGGGAATTCTGTATTGGTCCTGCTGGTGAAAAGCATCCTTTTAAAAAGGCAGAAGATGACCCCACCACAATCAGTGACTTCAGGGCTGTCTTTCTTTCTGCTCTCTGCATAGCCAACATGGCTGGCCTTCAGCTGGGGCCTCATCCTGTGTCCTGTGCATTGATATCTGCTAAACTAAGGAGTGGGCCTGCTGTCTGCTCAGAAACTGAGCCTCTCCTCACAAACTGATCACCTATCCTTTATCAGTGACCATAAAGTCCAGCAAGAGCACAGTATCTGTTTTCAGGGTCCCCCTTCACCAGCCCTTGGAGATCACCAAGATGAACTTTATATTTTCCAGTGGAGTAAAAGTGCCTGAAATTGTTTCATCTTGAGAAGTGTGAGAGTGGTAATTCAAAGGGCATTTCCTGCCCCTCTAGGCTTCAGGATGGTGGGTGGAGTGGAGTCAGTAGGTCCCTTTGAACCCCGGTTCTGCTGTTTCCTCATTTCCTGGCCTTGCCTGAATCCTGACCCTCTGTTTTCCCATCTAGAAAGTGGGGTAATGGTGCCCAGCCCACTGGGGTTCTCTTGAGGGCAAAAATGAAATACTTGAGATGAATATATAGCAGAGAGCTTGGCCCTACTAAATAGGGGATGATGTGGGCTCTGTGAATTCCACCCCTGCCACTCATGTATGGTGTGATCCCGAGGATCAGTGTCACATGGCCCACATTTTCCCTTAGTACCTGAGCCTGTAATAGTAGCCCATCTCAAGTCCACCTGCAGGCATAGGGCAGGGACATTGTCCTTGAGGGCTACTGGGGTCCCTGAAACAGTTGCATCTCCAGGGGAGTCACTGCCAGTGTGGGAAGCTGAGCTCTGTCTCCACCTCCCTCCTGACTCATGATGTGACCTTAAACAAGTGACTTCATTTCTACCTTTTTCCATTTCCTCTTCTGTCAAATAGGGATAATCATATGCAATAAAGTGCAGGAAGAGATAATTGCGACGTTAAATCAAGCCATTACTATTCTGTGCTGGCTTTTTAAATAAAAATGCTTGCGGTTCCTTGGAGCCCTTGGCTGACTACAACATAGGAACATCACTGAGGAGATGAGAGGGCAAGAAGACCTGTCCCTTTTAAGGAACTCTGGCCCAGGGGGTGGGGGGCTCCTATGTGCTGTCCCTTTCAAGGATGCTGTCTCAGGAGGTCCTTATGGGGACCCACAGAGAAATGACACCCCCATTCACAGGTGGGAAGACTGAGGGTTGTGGAAACAATGGCACTGGGGTCCCTCTGATCCCAGAGCCCATGTCTTTCTCTCCCAAGGCAAAGAAAAATCCAGGCGAGCTTCCCTAAGACCTCTGGGTTGTGCCCTGGAGAGCAGTGAGGTGACCTGTTCCTGGCCCGCTTAGCCCCCTGACAACCTGGTTGGGGATGCCCACACCAACAAAACCTGAGAATGGCTATGATTCGATAAAATGTTCATGTGCCTGGAGATCCAAGAAAATCAGCGAAAAACCATTAGAGTCATAAAATGATCATAAAATTCACAAAGGCAGGGACAGCACGCTTAGCCTGTAAAGCCCAGAGAATAAATGTTTTTGGCTTTCTGGTCTGCTCAGACTGTTTCAAAATAATGATGCTTTTCTTTCTCTTTCTCGTTCCTTTTTTTTCCTGTACTGGGGATTGAACCCAGGGCCTTAGCACTGAGCTACATTCCCAGTCATTTTTTATTTTTTATTTTGAGAGTGGGTCTAAGTTGCTAAGTTACCCAGGCTGGGCTTGAACTTTCTATCCTCTTGCCTCAGCCTCTCAGACTATTGGGATTTCAGGGGAGCATCGCCATCCCAGCTTGAAGCTTTTGTAACATGGAAACAGTGATGAGCACAAGCGTCAACACACAGCCGGGTGCTGGATTAGTCAGGGTTCTCCCGGTGGGCAGCACCAGCAAGATGTGTCCAGGCACAGAGCAAGATCTGTTGTGAGGTTTGGGCTCAGGTGATTAAGGAAGCAGTGAGTCTCGGCACCCTCTCCAGTTTGTTAGGGGAGAAGCCCCCTCACCCCTCTGGGCCATCCTTCCTCTCAGGGCTGGGATAGTGGCCAGAACATACTTCATGAACTGCCCCATGCAGAGGACTTTCTTTGCAAGGCCTCAGGCCCACCAAGTCTGAGAGAGGCCCCTCCTTTCTCTGAGGACCATGCAAGCTCCACATTAGGGTCATTCGCCCAATGTCACCCTCCCCCTTGCCAAGTGGGCTGCTTTCCCCTCACTTCAATGACAGGCAAAGCTCCTTTCCCTTCAGCTAATCCCAGACAGCCATGGGGAATGTCTGACTTCCACGCTCCCTCCCTCTGAAGATCCTGAGAGAGATGAGACTCTCAGGACCCAGCTGACACAGTTTATCCCATAAAAGGAAGGAAATAGGGCCACAAGTCTCAAGGACAATGTGACTCTGGTAGAGTCCACTTTTAAGGGATCTATCTGATGGAGACATGAATGTTCCCATTTAAGAAGCCAGGCTAACTTGGACAAGCAAAGCCTTCCCTTCTCCCAGCCTCAGCCTTGCCATCTGTGTAACGGGTACAAAACTCACTTTGGGTTGCTGTGAGGTTAGAACTTGTATGCATAAGGTGGTAGTGCACAGCCTGGCACCTTGTAGAGGCTGAGAGCTGGTGTCTGTTTTAGGATTGACATGATCATGAGTGAGGGGGGCCTTGCCCAATCTGGCACCCCCTCTCACCGGGGCAGTCCATTCATCAAACACATTTTGGTTCAGCAGCGAGCCAGACCTTGGGATTTCCCTTCTGTCATGTTTTCCTGTCTCAGTGGTTCAGATCTGTCTGGACTGCAGCCTGCACACTCTGCTTGTTAAAGCACCTATTCTTGCTGCACACACGGTATCCCACTGAATTTCCACACAACCCTCTGAAACAGCATCAGCTCCATTTCATAGCAGAGAAAATGGTGACTATTTATTCACTCAAAAACTTGTACAGAGCTCCTGATCCTATCCTTGCCTTCTGTGGGTGCTAGGACGCCATTCATTCATTCACACATCAATCACCAAGACCGTAGTCTTTCTCATCGCACCCAGGACAGCTGCACACTCCGCCCTGGCCTATGAGGGCCAACAGTCTCTGGCCTCTGCTCACCTCTCTGCCTTTTCTACCCCAGTCTCTCCTTATTCCTCTTCTGGAATAAGGTCTGCCTGTTATCCTCAAACACATCACGTGCACTCACATCTCAGGGACTTTGCCTGAGGTACCTGTAATTATGTACTGGGGTCACACAGGTGGCTGAGGGAGCTCAGAGGAAGGGGTTGATCCAGATAGACTTCCCGAGGAGGCAGCTGAGGTTGAGTTTTGGAGAGTTATCCAGGTCAGAGGGTGGTAGGTGGGTGGGTAAGAAGGGTGTCCAAGCTGAGGGGGCCCCATATGCCACGGCTGAGGGCAGGGTGCTTGGGGCCTTTGTTGTGCCATGGCAGGTGGCTCCCCAGAACTCATACCAGGCTGTCTGGTGCTGTGCACTTGCTGTGATGCCTTGGCAGATGGTGTGATTTCTCTACCTCTATTTCCTTGTCTGTAAAGTGGGGAGAAGACTAGCCCAACTGTGGGCTGTTGTGAGGACACTTCCCTTAGGACACACAGCACTGAGGACAGGGCCAAGTCATAGTCAGTGCCTGGCCACCATGGGCTCTATGTTAGGAAAGGCCTTGAGTGCCGAGCAAGGGGCCAGGTCCCCTGCAGGGAGGTGCAGAGCCTCTGAAAGCTGGTGCAGGGCAGAGGTCCAGTCAGCCCATGTGCCAGAGGAGCCCTTGGGCTGCTGTGTAGAGGGTGGCTGGGAGGACATGATCAGAGGTCACTCCAGACCAGGTGGAGGCTGGTGTGGATTCCTGGAGGGAGGAGCTGGATCTGGAGCTGGGATGGATGCACAGAGGGCCTAGGTAGTGCCCAGTGGTCACAAAGGTGAGCTCTGGAACCCCAGCCTCACCTGAGCACAAATTTCACCCTAGACTCCCTCCTGGCTCTGGAGTATTGGCAGGTGTCTGTTTCCCTACCTATAAAGTGGGTGAGATCTTGGCTCTCATGCCAAGATGCTGAAGGGATGTAAGGGTAACCAATGGGGGCTGCTCAGAACTTAGTAACCATCAGATCAACTGTTATCCATGGTCAAGTTAATGGGCGAAAGTAGAGGATGCGGGCTCCGGTTAGGCCCAGACACAGAGATCTAGATTGAGCCTCCCATTTAGATGGCAGCTGGTGGTATGGGACATCTCCAGCTAGGATTTGCAGGGGGGCTCTCCAGGGGATTCACTGCTAATCTTGGAACCAGCTGGCCCTGCCATCACTGGTATCAGGGAAAAAATGAGTCATCTGCTTTGTGTCTCCATGAAACTAGAGCAGCTCAATCGTCTGGAACCCTAATCTGCTCAGTGCTGATAGAGCTGTGAGAAACACACAGGCTGGGAAGGACCCAGGGGAACACATGTCCACTTTCCGGGTGCCAGGAGCAGACTGGCCCAATCTCAAGAGAGGTACCTGGCCCTGATCTCTCATTGTCATCATTGAGTGACCTCAGGGGATCATCCATAAAGTAGGGCTAATGACACTTGGCTGTCACAGTTGGCAGGTAGGCTGAGTTCAACATACAACTCCAGGGCCCTGAGCACTCTGCCCCCTGGTAGCTCATTGAGGGTTCAGCTGTCGATGAATCAATGTTGCTGTACAATAATTATAGCTACAAGGTTCGGGGGGTCCAACAGAGCAGGCCTGGGTCCAGCTGCCTACTGCAGGCAGTACAGGGGCAGCTCATTGTCTCAAAAGTGCCCCTCTAACTGGCAAGGAGTGGATAAGTTGAGGGCATAGGGCAGTAGGGGCTTGATAAATGGCAAGTGGAGGTAATTATTAGCAGACTATGAAGGGGGACCCATTGCATGCTTCTGGAGGGGGAATCCTGCTCTGGGGCTCATGGAGTGGGACCTTGGAACCCCCCTGAACACCTGAGCAGACAGGAAAGTGTGCAGGAATGAGGGACGTGGGGGAAGGTGGATGCCATCTCTGAGGTTAGAGGCATTGGGTTAGGAGGGCCAGGGTGGGAAGGCCATGAAACCCCCACCCAGTCAACCGGGAGTGGGTAGGGGACTTCACATTTCCATGTGGGAGATGTGCACTATGCAATTGGAGTGGTCTTGAGTCTTCACATTTGCCTTCTAAAGAATTGAGTGTGAAAGAGACAACTTGTAATAAATTACTTGTAGAGCATTAATTCAAATGCCAAGTATTTACTGAGGGCCTACTATGTGGTGGCCAGGGTTTTAGGTACTAACATAGAGCAGGGAATAAGATGGTTAAGGTCTGTGTCCTGGGTGAGGTAACATTCTAGTGGGGGAAGGGATAACCATGGGCACCAAACAGGCATCAGATAAAGCAGAAAGCATAAGGCCCTGGTGAGTGTTGTGATAAAACCTCTGCACCGTGATATGAGAGAGACTGGAAAATCGCACTCGATACAGTGGCCAGCAAATGCCTCTCTGGCCACAAGGCATTTAATTCACTTAGTACAAGAAAAAGCAAGTCACATGAAAGTCTGAGGTCAGGGGACTGCAGACAGGAACAGAAAGAGCAAAGGCCCCGAGGCAGGAGAAAGTTTGTTTGTGTGAGGAACACAGAGTGAGCATTATGGAGAAGACCAGGTGCAGCTCCTTCCTTCTTGGAGCCAGAGTCTGAAGGCTCACATAGCTAATTGTGAAGTTGTACCCTGCTTTGAAGGGAGAGGTGCAAGTTACTGGGAGGACAGGAAGGAGTAGCATCTCATCCAGCTTCAAAGATCAACAAAAGCTGCCCAGCAGGGGTGATATCTAATCTAGGACTGAAGTGACAAGTAACAGATGAGGGGAGCTAGGGTTTTCCAGGCAGAAGGAGCAGCATGTGCAAAGGCCTGGGGATGAAATAGAGCCCGATACATTCAGTAAGGGAATTATAAACAGCTGGCTGTGGTTGGAGGTCAGAGCTGAAGTGCTGAGGTTCTGGGGTGGGATTGAGGGTATTCCTGACATTTGGGCAGAAGGTCAGCTTGATTGCATGCTGTGGATCTGATCACAGAATTGATGTGCTGGCAAGGGCATTTCAGGCTGGGATCAGGGAAGGACCTGGAAGCAGGGAGGCCAGCACAGAGAGGGGGTGAAGGCAGAGCTATGGTCAGGGTAAGTGTCAGTGCTAGAATGGGAAAGAAAAATTCCAGAGACTTTACAAAGTATAGTTCAGTAATACAGTGCTTGTGTAGCATACATGAGGCCCCAGTACTGCAAAAAAAGAAAAAAAAAAAAAAAAAGCACAGAGCAGACCAGCCTGTGACAACCTAGGGAACAGGGAAAAAGGCAGGTGACAAAAGCCTCAAATTACCCATTGGAGCACATAGCCACGTATCTTCTGGCTTGGAGGGTGGTCAGAGTGGGATGCAAAGTCTAACAGACTGGATCAAGGCCCAGCTTGCCCACACATGCTCTGTACAATCACTTCTCCTGCTTGTGCCTCAATGTCTTCACCCGTCAAATGACACTGGCACAGAGCTGTCATGCCCTCTGAATGTGGATGCACGGAAGAGCTCCTGGCATCCTGCAGCACTCTGCTCTTGCCAGTTCCTGCTCCTAGCCTTGGCCTTAACTCCCATATCCCCTCTAGCTCCTCAGCTATAGAGTGGGATCGAAGATGCTTGTCTTGTCATGTTCCTAACAGGAACAAAAGAGATGGCTTTGCAAGCTCAGGGTACCCAGCACGGAATATCAGGTCTCATGCTCTTTTCCTCCCTCCCCTGCAGGAAGAACTGAGAGGAATGGCGTGGCAGAGGCTGGTGCTGGCCACCTGCCTCCTGGTGCTGCCCTCTGCCTCAGCAGAATGCCTGTCCCAGTGCTCCTTGTGTGCTGTGAAGACCCAGGATTGGCCCAAACCCATCAATCCCCTGGTAGGTTTCAGGGATGTTTCTTCAATGCCCAATCCTTCTGTGCACAGAACATGAAAAGGGAAGGTCACAGGGCAGGCAGCTCTGCCTGTCCCATGTTCATCCCACCTGTACAGGGCTTGTCCTATCCTATGGACAGCCTAGGTGCCCAGGCTCCCATAAGCACCCAGACCTCACCACCCTGGGCTCCCTTGGGCCAGGACAGAGATGTAAGATGCAGGTTTCCAGGCAGCTGGGTGCTTGGCAACAGGGGTGTCAGTCATGAGGGCTGGGTTTGCAGTCAGCATCTCTAGATTAACTTTTTAAGGCTTCTCACCCCCGGGCTGATGGGCACCTTCAAATCCAGTCACTGCCATGGAAAGGACTATCTCCATCATCCCTAATTGCCAGATCAGGTGGACAGGCTGCAGGCCTTGGCCCCACCCCTGGGTCCTAGCTTCTCTCAGACTCTCCTCATGCCTCTCTCAGGACAGCAGGAAGGCTAGAGTAGAGGAGCCAAGGGTGTGATGAGCAGCACATGGGTCCTTGTTCTACACCTTTCTAGATCCTTGACTCTGGAAGCCCCTCTTTGACCCTCAATTCCCTCATCGGCAAAGTTGGAGTGATTCTCTGAGATAATGATGGAAAGCATTTGAGACGGGCTTCTGTTTATTGAGAACGCACACAGTGTGACAAGGGCTTCCTCCTCAGGATCTCAGGATAGCAGTATGGCTGAGCAAAGAGGTTCATAGCATTAGGCTGCCAGGCTCAAGTTCCAGTATTGTCTGTTATTATAGTCACTGTCACAGTCATTGTCCTGACTAAATTTTCCCAACCCCATGCAGAATGTACTATTATCCCCTCCTGGAGGCTTGATGTCCTCTCCTATATCTCCTCAAACATATTCTTTCTGCTATTCTGCACTGCTTTGTCCCTGTCTGTAAAGTGTTAGCAGAACCCTTCACACCTGGAAAAGGTGAGGAGAAGAGGAAGGGTGAGCCCACAGAGCCTGTGGGAAGAGCCTGCATCCAGTGCTGGCATTGCCACCTGTAGCTATGTGACCTTGGGAAAGTCTGTTTCTCATGCCCCACGGGGGTACGGTCGCCCATCTTTATGCATCACTGGGAGCATCAAATGAGTAGCCAAGTGCTTAGCAAGGTGGTGCCCTTTTATTCTGGACCTGGACCAGGGCTCTGGGGTGGGGCAGGGCATGTGTCTTGATGCTTTGTTGGGGTGACATCACCACTGTGGTCTTGTCTTTGGGGTATTTTGCAGATTTGCTCCCTGGAATGCCAGGACACCTTGCTGCCCACCGAGGAGTGGCAGCGATGCCAGGGCATCCTGTCCTTTTTCACCCCCTCTGCCTTCAGGTTCAGGGGCCAGAATGGCCTGGACAGCAGGGCAGCTTTGGAAAAGGCCTCCATGGAGCTGGTCAAGCATGCTGGGCCTTTCCTGCAGGAGCTGGAGAAAAGTGGACTCCTCTCCAGCACCCCTGCAAAGGACAAGCTCAGGGGTCTCTCTGGTGGGTTCGGGGAAGGCATGGAGTCTGACGCAGTGGGAGCTTCCCAGCTACACGGTGGTGCTGTGGAGGCTGCAGCTCTCAATTTCGATGAGGACCCCAAGGAGCAGGTCAAACGCTACGGGGGCTTTCTTCGCAAATATCCCAAGAGGAGCACAGAGGTGGCTGGGGAGGGCGATGGGGATGAGGACAGTGTGGGCCACGAGGACCTGTACAAACGCTATGGGGGCTTCTTGCGGCGCATCCGTCCCAAGCTCAAGTGGGACAACCAGAAGCGCTATGGTGGTTTTCTCCGGCGCCAGTTCAAGGTGGTGACACGGTCACAGGAAGACCCCAGTGCCTACTCAGAAGAGTTTTTTGATGTGTAAACATGCCCTCATCCTGCAGCTGAGTCAGGAGCTTCCCCTCATACCTTCCCATATTGGAGCACACTCACTCCCCTCTTGTGTGTACCCTGTTCCCACACCCAGCTCATCACCATCTACAAAATATCCAAGCCCAGCTCACCTCTCTCCTTCCCCAAGTGCACTATTTGCCTGAGGTCAGTGACAGAGAAAAGTGGAGGTCCCCCTCTGTTGGGATCAGTGCTGGACTCACACCCCTACACCTCTAAGCTACTACCAGCAGCAGCTTTGGATATCAGTCTCCCTACTCTGTTCTAGTGACTCCCCAATTCCAGGAGTCCAGAGTGAATTGCTCTTTCTACATGTAGATCTATGATGATCAAGCTTTACAGATCATACGCCCCTCCCAGAAGAAAAATGAGCACCCGCTCCATGCAGATAGTATACATATTACCATAAAACCTGTGCAGAATAGAAATTTAAAACAAGAGAGATAAACATAAACAGAAATCTCAACATTGTATTCTCAAACCCCAGAGATCTCCTTATGCACCCCACTTTGGAGACCATACATTAGGTGAAGAGCCTGAACACTGGCTTTTATTGGAGCAGGAATTCTGACACTGGAGAGCCCAGTCTTCTGGTAGATTAAATGTTCAGTCTGTGTACTCTGAGTTCTCATCATTTAGAAATGCATCTCTTGAAGAGCTGAGCTACTGAATGCATGTTCATGTTGGTACCCTGGACTGTGCCCACCTCACAGAAGAGGAAAGGAGTGGAAACTGTTCCTCGGTGGCAGAGAGCTCTTCTGAACACCCAGATGATCACAGAGGGAGCAAAGCAAACCAATTTGTTCTGTGCAACAAGCTCAGAATGTGGACCAGTTCCCCTGGCCCTCGTTAAGCTAATTAAACGGATTGGTATCACACTTCTACCCCATGATGAACTGAAGCAGTTGGGCTGATGAGGTTAAACACAGCCATGTTCTGGAGCAGCTGAACTGGCTGCCAGGAGCCCAGCCATCTGGCCCAGCATATGCACTGGGCAATGGATCAGGGAGTCCAGAGGCAGCGGAAAGAAAGAGTGCCCCTCCTCAACCCAACATAACAATTCTTCCCTCTTAATGCCTCCAAATAAAACAGAAAGGGGAATGAAATGATTGTTTGAGGGCAAGTGAGTTCCCCTGATTCAAATAACCCAGAATCAGAGACAGAAACCTGATGTGTTGGTTTCAAAGTTCCTTCTCTCTCTCTCTTTCTCATCCCCAAGCACTGTTGGGGTTTGTGGGACAAGGAGATGGGCTGGATAGGAGAGGAAATGGACTTGAGTCTGGATACTTTGTGTAAGGTGCTTTGAGCACCCCTCTTCAAGCCCAGCCCCCCGGTCTCTCTTTCTGAAATGTACAGATTGTTCTAGGTTTGCTTTGTGTGCTTTTAAAAAATTCCATTTATGCAATTTACTTGGAATTTGCTTAGTCTACAATAGGCCCGTGTAATTTCCTGCTCCCTCCAGTATAATAAATAAAAGAGATGCTGATGACATTGTGTGTGTGCACATGTGTGTGTATGTGTGTGTATGTGTGTATCTGCATCCACTCCAGCCTCAGTCCCCAGAATGAGTGATAGGGGGTGAACCTAGCTAGCTAACTAGTTTAAAATTGAAAGTTGGATCTGTGTGAACTCAAGTGGGTCATGGACCTCTCTGAGCCATGGCTCTCTCTTCTGTGAAATGAAGACAATGATGCCAACTTTGTAGGGTGGCAGTGAGGGTTAGATGAAATCATATATGCATAGCACAAGGTGGGTTTGAGGGTTTCCTTTCCTACATTGCCTTGGGGGACAGTAGCAGAACTAGGCATTCAGCACTAGGCAGAGAGGATGGGCAGAGGTGCCACCGAGGGAACCTAGGTCAGGGCTGCCTCCAATGCTGGAAAACTAGGACGGAAAGGAGAGATGTTCTAACAAGCGTGAGTGTGCTAAGGATGAGCACTCAAGTGACAAGGTGGCAAAATGTCCCCTACTAAGATGACACACTTCATTGAGTTGTACAGATGAAATGTCTTTGAACAGGAGGAGTGTTTCAAAGTAACTCAATGGCTACAAGCCTCACGTGTTCCATGAGGAGCCTGAGTTTCTTAGAGACATCCTAGAAAACCCAGGGTCAGGGAGGTCTCATTCATTCAACAAAGTATTACTTGCAGGCCAGCTGTGTGTAGTAGGAAGTATGGGAAAACAAAATGGACATGGTCTCTGTTCTTGTGGGATGTGCAGCTTGGTAGAAGAGAGAAATAAACATATGAAAATATGACATGAACATTTGCAACAGTGATAATTGCTGTAAAGAAAAGAACTGGAAACCAGGTGTGGTGGTGCTGGCCTGTAATCTCAGCACTCCTGAGTCTGAGGCAGGAGGACTGAAAATTAGAAAGGGCTGGGGACATAGCTCACGGGAAGGCCCAAGTACTGAAGAAAAAGAAAGGAAAGGAAAGGAGAGGAGAGGAAAAGGGAGGGGAGGGAAGCAAAGCGAAGCATTGGGATATGGAGGTAAAGGATAGCAGGTGCAGGGAAGAATCTCCTTAGGGTATTCAGGAAACCCTTTCCTGGGGAATATTCTGACCCTAATATTCTTAGGAAGGAACCTGAAGTTTGGGTTCATTTTATTCAGGCACTTACTCTCTGCCAAATGAACACGTCCATAATAAACCCTAACCTGCTTGAACATTTTTATTGACTTGGATTTTGCAGTGTTTTCCACTCCTTGATGACTCAGTGTTGGAAAGTTTTATCTTTATGTTAGTTTGAAGGTTTCTATCATTTTTATCCAGTGTGTCTTGATCCTGGCTTCTCTAGCCCGGAAACTCCTCCAGGAAGAATTTTCTGTCACTCGAAAGCAAATGACTCTATTTTCTCAACTGGGTTAAACAAACAGACAAGGCAGGCAATGTATTGGTTTGCTTAAACAAAAAGTCCAGCAATATTTACCTTCAGGTAGAGCTTGATCAAGGGGCTCCCTAAGAACCTCAGGATCTCTCCATCAGTGGAATCCTTTCCCTTCAGTGCGGGGTTGCCAGAAGCTTCAGGATGTCCTGTTCAGGTTCAAGCTCCATGTTCTGTTTTCACAGCAATCCTAGTCATGGTTTCCCTCCATCTCATTGGCCCTGATTAGGCCGTATGTCCAACTGTGAGCCAGTAACAATCATTGTGGACAGATTAATGTGATGCTCTGATTGGCGGGACTGAACAACATGGACACCACTGAGCCAGGGATAGATTCAACCCCACACAAGAAAAAGAAGGAGTGGTACTGGAGAGGGGAGATGGAGCATGGGTCTCAGCATGTAGGAGTAAACCCCGACCCACCAGGCAGGAGGCAGTTGCCCCAGCGCGTGAAGGGGGCTGGTAGGGCTGGGGAGAGTAGAGGGCATGTGCATGGCACATGTCCAAGAGGAGCCAGAAACCCAATTTCTAAGAGACTGCTGACACCTAGACCTGCCTCTGACATCTCTCAGTTTTTCAGGGTAGCAAGTAATTTTTGAAAAATAATACCAAGTTAGACAAACAATAACATGTTTGGCATCACACACATCATTCTCTCACCACTATTTTGTGACTCTTTTAAACTCCTTTCTTTTTTTGTGGGAAATCCTCCTTTAAAAAGAAAATTTCCTCACATGCCCAAATTTCCAGTATACTGTTCTTCTGGCCTCCCTTGTCTAGGTTTATTTCACTTGGTCACAGAAAGCATGGCCACACAGGTAGGCAGAGCATGGCCAGGGGTCAAAGAGGATCTGGGCTCAGATCCAGCATCCCCAGGTGACTTGGGGCAACTGTATACACTTCACCGAGACTCACTTTCCAATCTGTCAAGTGTGGATAAAAATGTTGACCTCACTGGATGGAGGAAAATATTCAGTGATATAAAGTCTACAATGACACAAAAAGGGTATGATATACACCATCTTACAGGTGGTGCCTTTGATCACAGTGATGTCACCTGAGTCAGGCCTGACAGGGATAAAAGCAAGTCAGTCCTTCCAGAGTACCGAGTCTTTGTCCCTGTCACAAAGGGCACCGTACAACGGTCACAGAGCTGCACTGGCTAAGGAATGCCAACATCCTAGTAACCTTAAAAATGCCCAATACTAATAAGCACGCAGTTTCCGTGGCAACACTGTACTGCATCACTGTGAGGAAGTCTTGTCATAACGATCATGCCCATCATTAGGATCCCTCAGATTGGCTCTCCCCTCCTCCACCTCATGCTCTGACCCTTCACACAAACAAGCCCAGTGATGGGGCTTGTCTATTAATTAAAGGCCACAAACTGAAGGCAACAAAAACGTATGATGGTTTCAGGAACAATAGTTTCCTAGCAGATGTCATTTTGCATTCTTGATTCACATGCTGGGTCCATGTCACCTCCCGTTAGCAGCGGAGATTTGTAACAAAGGTTTATAATTACTCCTGCAATATGTAAATGTGCACCTCTGTTGCACTCCCACATTATCTGCCTTGGATCTTTTGAGCTGAAGCCTGTTATTCTGTGTCCCCAGGCCTCCCCTCGTTCTTCACCACCTTCGGCAGGAAGTTTGCCTTGTGAAAACACACACCTGTGTCACTCTTGCACCCCTCGTGACACTTGCTGATGGCCTGCAGGACCTGCTGGGAGACTGCGAAATGATTTCCGGTTGTCTGTCAGGCAGGCCCATGAAATGTTTGGATGTGGGGAAGGAGCACTGCACGGAGAGTCCCAGCTTGGCTAACCAGCCATGGGGGGTGGCTGTGACCTTTCCAAGACATGGATTTTTCTGTCAAACAATGTTGATAATAGTATGAAATCTTTTGTCCTTGACACATAACACCTGATCTGCATCAATCAATAAATGCTGAACAGTACAACTCAGGATCAGTTTCCTCATCTTAAAATGAGAGTCAAGATTTCTGCCCTGGTGGGTAGAGGGAAGTCATGTAAGAGGACTCAGGAACCGGGTCTGACCCTAAGTTGTGTCATTAGAGTCAATGTCCTCCCACATGAGTCCATCTGGTCTCTGATGAACATTCATGGAGCATCTGTTGTGGACCCAGCACTGGGCAAGGGGCAAAAGGTTCGGTGATGGTCAAATCCTACTTCGTAAGGGCACACTTTCCTAGGGTGAGACCAATCGACTATAAAAGATGGAGTGGGTCTCAGTGTCTCTGGTGGTCATGAACACTGGGAAGGAAAAGAAAGAGTCAAGGAATTCGAGTGATGGAGGGCAGGGATTGTTACTCAGAGGTCACAGGCCTCTCTGAAGGGGTACGTGTGACCAGAGATCTTTAAGAGGTCCAGCAGGGAGCCTGGTGGCTGTCTATGCAAGGCAGTGGCGGGGAGGAGCATTCCAGGAAGAGGAGGAAAGTGCTAAGTCCCAGATGATGGCTCCTGGTAGTCGGTGTCCAGTGGAATAAGGAAGCTAAGTGAATGAGTGGGGGCAGAGGTAGGAGACGAGGCTGCAAATGTGGATGGGACCAAGTGGCACAGGGTCTCCTGCATCTCAGCACTGCCTTGGTTTCACTGTTATGCAGTGACTGTGGAGCCCCTTTTATCCTCAAAGTACCCTGGTCTGGACCGTTTATAATACTGTTGCTCAACTTATGGACTGAGAAACAACCTTGACTTTCAACCCATGATGAGATAGCAGATACAGGAAGGTTTTTAAGCACAGAAAGGACAGCATCTGTGCTAAATGGAAAGGGGTGGCACTGGCTTCTGTGTGACTAGCCATTACGGTTTCTATTTAAATGTCTCCCCAAGGCCTCATGTCATTGTAGGTGGGGCTTTTGAAAGGTGATTGCATTATAGAGCCTTATGTCTGATTTGCTGCTATGAGGTAGGATCCACTCAGAAGATGTGGGCTTCTGTGGGCATGACCTGGAAAGGCTTATCTCCTTTCCTGGGACCTCCCTTGACTCTCTCTGCTTCCTGGTCACCATGAGGTGAGCAGCTTTCCTCCACCATGCCACTCTGCCTTTATGGACCAAAACCTTTACAAATTGGGTCAAAGTAAATGCTTCCTCCTTTAAGTTGAAGACATCAGGTGTTACGTCCCAGTGACAGGAAAAATGACTAAGAACAGTCTACGGGGAGCACAAGGGAACATTCTGGGGACAGCCAGGGAATGACACCTTCCAAAGTGCATATGAGAGACAGAGGGTACCAGGGATGACAGAAGAGCTTTTCTTTCTTGGGATCAAAGCCCCAGTAAGACATTCTGTCCTTAACAGGCTCCCCCGGAGCACTGGCTAGGGGTGAGCTCTAGGAAGTCTGCCCACAGTGGTGGCAGTGGTTGTGGGGAAGTCAGCCTGCAGAAGTTAACAGCAAGTGAGGAATGAGCTTGCAGAAGCCAGCTCAGAGCCCCCACTTCCCCACCCTCATTTCAGTCTTGCAAAATGTAGTCACATGGTTTGCAATTCTAGGGAGAAAAGTCTCTGAACTGGGACTTGCTTTACATAAAAGATGCATCACTGGAAAGTATATAAATAAAATTTTTGCA